TTCTGATATTTTAGAGCCAAAATGTCTCATGTTCGTTATCAGTCAATGGATGGAATTCCGCCTGATATTTCGCAAGTCTTACTCACTATTATCTACAAATAAAAGGCTACCTATGTTATAAATACTCAATGACAACCATAATATTTGTATCACGTGACCAACAAAGTATATCTAAATTGTATTATCTACCCATACAAAGCAGGATTCCAACATACACTGATAAAACTGTTTCCCGTTAAAGCAGATATGCTCCGCTCACTCAACAGTCATCACTGGACAATCATCGGTACACCACATTTAATAAACACAGTTTTAAAATAAAATATTATATTGTTCCAACAGGAAAATGGCATTTTGAGGACAATTTGCCACGCAGTGGACCCATATTTTGCGTTACAAAGTGTTTTTTTGTGATTTTTGTGTGACGATAGTGCCCTTTATGGTCCCGAAAGGGGGTGTTCCAAAATGGATTCGAAGAAATTGATGGATTGCATTGTGGCTGGTATGGTTTTTGATTTTGGTCTTTATTTGTAGTGTACTTGAGTTAATTGTTGTGTTATTAGGCGTGGCATTTCTGTTTTCAGTCAGGCTTTTGATTGGATAATCTTTTTACGGAGATTATTAGTTTTTTGGGTAATAATTGCAATTTTAGGCTCACCTATTACATGGGACTCATAACATAACATAAATAGTGAAAAGCGTGTGTTACATTGTACAGTAGCATAATGTGCACCTCTGCCTATCCCTTCGGGGATAAAAGGCGTGATGTTATGTTAATTGCACTTTTTTGATCTGAGAGGAGAGCTGAGTGACTTTTGAGTTTTTTTGTGTTATGTTCTATTGGACAAAAATTTGTCGATGTAAAATATTAATATTATAACGTTCGACTAAATTAATTATTGTTTTTCGGTTTTACTCACGTTATTATTTGACGACTAACTCGACTAGTTTCAAACCATGCTAGAGGCGTATATTCATGAGCAGTATTCCGCGACACACGATGCGGCGACTGTCGCGCTGCTACCTTTCGCTCAATGAGTAATCATTGAGCGAAAACCAAACTAGTTGAGATCCTCGTCAAATAATTACTAGCCGAAAAACATACTTTAATTGATGTAAAATATGTCTGTAGGTAGACTTCGAATCTCAATATGTATTGCTTGTGGAAGAGGAGACTCATCCAGTGAGCCTTTGTAAATGAAAGCTTAAAGTAGTTTACTCGTTCTTTATATCTAAACCTTATGATTGTGTCTCTTTACAATGACCAATGCTTACTAAATTTTCCATAGCCATACAGTCTCGTGCAAAATCTAGCTAACCTATAATACTCCTTTGTGGTTGTTTCACCGTAACTTAAGGAAAAATATCAAAACTTCATAAATGAAATTAATATAGAGTCTTAGTATCTGTCGAATTAGTTTCTAAATAGTCATTTTAAAGTTGAAAAGCTAATGAAATTAACGAAGGATTTAGTATCCATAGAAATTGTACAGTTCTGAATAGATATTTTGAAATGATTGAGATGAAAAGCCTCAGTTGCATGTTGACATTGATTGCCTCTCGATACTCTTGCCGCGGGAGTCATATGCGCCGACTAAGGCCGCCGGTGCTCTTTGATATACCTTAATCTTGTCTTGCCTTCAGTACCAGACACAAAAATCCTGTCATAATCAGCTTGTAAGCCTGTTATTAATATGAAACCAAATTATGAATGCATATTTGCTGATTTTTTTCAAACTAGATTTTCCCGTGATAAATAAAATGGAAAAACACTATTCTGAAACCGCATCAAGATCGGTTCAGCCAATCGCGAAATAATTATTAATTCTTCACCAAAGATAACAGTAAATGGCGGACTTAATACCTTAAGGCATTCTCTGACAGTCAACCTTAGGAAAGTGTTGAGAAATGAAGCGGTTGATGCGAAGCCAGAACACAATAAAAAAAAAGAAATTATTGTTATTAAATAATATGCGTACTACACACTACTATAAAAAACCTATACAATAAATATAATAATCAACAATTCCAGATTCCGTGCTACTACTGAGAATGCTAAAGAGGCAGTCAAAGAAAGAGAAAGAAACACATATTCACTCACCTAAGAACAAAATATTAATAAAACAACGGTTATGAAAAGTTACAACATTAATTGAGATTACCCTCGGTGTGACTAAGAAACTACTTACTATTAGACCAGTATTTTTGTCAGCGAAGTTTTTCTAAATACTTTTAGTGATGAAAAAAAGAGGAAAAAACTATAAAGTCTGGTGCAGAATGCTTCCTGTGGAGCTGATACGGATCCAAGGGCGCATTCGTTTTATCGTTCAATGTCACCCACCAGCTGTGTGCTGTGTTTAGCGAGAACTGTACCTACTTCTAGAATAGGGTAGATGCCTAATTTTTATTTCCATGTCCGTCTGGTAGATTATTTTAAATCATTAGACACGTATTTTTTATTTTCTTACAGAAATGAATATTTTCGACGATACATTGATTTGAAATGTCGTGTGACGTCACTTCTATGTACATTTTATACGTAGAAATGACGTTTTAGCCCCCACTGCTAAACTTTGATTCGTTTTATTTTGTCAAAATAAAAAAATACGTGTCTAATATTTTTTCATTACCTAACTTATGGACTAATTCGATTTTTAGTTTTCATACCCTGTCATCATCCCAAGGAAGATTGTGTAAGAGTGATTTAGACTAGAGTAATTTGTATAAATCAAGCCTTGTGGTCATCTCAAGTTTAGGTTGAGGACCATTTTTTTTAATGTACTTTTTTATGGGATATGCCGGGCGTAAACGAGCAGATAGATCACTTGATACTAAGCAATCGGCGTCACCATTACATCTGGAACACCAGAGACCTTGGGCCTCCGATAACCTCACTCACACGACGAAAAAACAACAACAATCCTCAAATTCCTTATCCCTAAAAGGCCGGTAACGCACTTGTAAACGCCTCTGATGATCCAGGTGTGCATGGGCGACGCCGATTGCTGACCATCAGGTGATCCGTCTGTTCGTTTATCAACCTATTCCGTAAATAAAAATCACACCATGATGTTCTCGGAAATCAGTAAATAACATAACAAAAGCAACTACTTCTAACATAACTTATTAAGAATTGAATGAATTTTTGATTCGACAGTTCGATCGTCCCGAGTAAGGGACGTCTTTTTAACGAAAGTTCTTCACTGAAGGTAACTTCTCTATCTTTACACCATTGTAATAAGGGCGGTTTTCCTTTACCATCGTCTATTAGCCTTGTGTTACGTAAATATTTTATAGTTCGTATCAATCTGAATTGAATAAAGATATTTTTGTGTTGTTTTCATAGCGTGGCTGAAAACTGGACACGATTCGGTTATAAGTAGTTTTTATTGAATGGTTGTGTGTGGGAATGCCAATAGATACTTGTATTGGTGAAAGAGATTAATATGGGCTGACACAGTAATAGAAAAAAACTCTTTGTATGGTCTGGGTGTGATTGGCTTTGTGACAGGAGAAAATTCTTGGATAGGGTTTATAATATGTAAGAATTGTAGTGGTTGCTTTCGACAGACAGACAGATGGATTGAAAGCAGTCTTAGAAATAGGGTCTAATTTAAAAATTAAACCCTCAAGACGGATCCAAATTGTTAGCAAAGCGAATGACAGTAAACCACAATTTCTTTATTAACCAATTTTATCAGCAACCGAACGAAAATTTCAAGTATTTAACAATAAATTTAAATAAATTAGTTTCCAAGGTCGATTTCTCAATCGCCTTTGGCCATGGTGTGACTAATGACTTCTTTATAATAATGTAATTATACTGACAGCCATTACGTGTTTCTTGTTTGTTCGAGACATCGATGATAATGAATGGACGGCTTTTTTATGTGCACAAATCAAGCTAGAAATCCAGTATAAACTGAGCTACGAATGTACGGAAAGATCACACGAAGCAAGACCATGAAATACTGTTTTTTTCGAGCTTGATGTGTACACGGGGTCTGAATGTGATATTAAGGATATTTTCTTCTTGACGTATCCATTTTTCAAGTTGTTTTTTTTTTTTTATATTTTGCTATTGGTGATGTTGTTATGACCGGTAGGGTTGTGGATAAAGCTTAATATTTTACTGCGGCCCCGGCTCAGAGCAGGAGTTGCAACGAGGTAGTTCTTATGCGGTTATAGTCTGACACCTTCCCTTCGTCTCATTCAGGGCAGGAGGAGTCATCTGAGGTTTTCCCCCTTAAAAAGGGTAAATTAATCTCTGGTATGAGCGTAGATATACGCGAGACACAATGTGTTTTCTATTGTGTCTCACATGCCGACAGATATAGAATTTTCTCTATGTATCCCTCTTGGCAATAGATTTATCCCCATCCTCATTCCAAGACCCAATGCTTGTCGGTCACCAACACACCATTCGCTGAACGAGGTCACAAAATCTGACGTCATTTATGACGCGTTTTATAAAGTTTTTGGAGAACTTTTCCTCGAATTTATAAATGCAATTGGTTCTCTGGTGCAATTATCCCCTTGTTTGACGGTGTATCTTGATTATTATGACGTTTAGGTACCAACTTTTGGGTTCGATGGACTTTAGTTTACGTCACATTTTAGCGCTTTACGTCCGATCGGAAAGTTATGCAAAGAAATGGTAGTGACGTTAGTATTAGCATTAACAATACTAGGTTTTTATAGGAAATAAAAAACGATTTTAAAGAAATAACAAATAGGAACCTGTATTATGGATTGTCCGTCCACTATCTCGCCTGGTAGTAAGCGATGATGAGGACTACGATGTAGCATGTCTACCCTTTTAGAACTTATTAACTCAGATCTTCAAAACATCCAGACATCCTTCGGGAAGCACAGTAAGGTGATCTTCGTGCATTTTAGTGGCATATCCACCAAGAAGCAGTGGCGTTTTATCGATATGTCATATTACACTGATTGAAAGATTGAAACATCATTCTAATACAAAATCTCTTTTTTTACAGGAATTCAGCATGCAATCGGCGGGCTAGCATCCAAACCTGAGCGCGATCTCCTCATGCAGGACTTCATGACAGTGGAGACTACGAACTTTCCCCACGAAGGCTCCAACCACACGCCTGCCCATCATTATTCAGAGTTCAAATTCAAGACTTACGCTCCAATCGCCTTCAGATATTTTCGCGACCTGTTCGGGATCCAACCTGATGATTTCTTAGTAAGACATCGTTTTTAAATTCTCTTTTTCTTCATAGCTTTTAGATGTTCTTCTGTTTCGTGTAGATTTCGGTTTTTGTTTTGCGGTTAGTGATCAGTTTTTGGAGTTCTAGAAGGGGGATTTTTTTTATAAGCATTCTTTTTTTAAGTTTTTTAAATTCATCGAATGACTTCTCCCGGTTGGATGAGGGGGGAAGGAATGTCAGACTTACTGACTAAAAAAACACCCCGTTCTTACTCGTGCACTTCGAGCCAGAGCCCCGGTAACCTTTGACGTTCTCCGCGGCTCCGTATTGGCATCAGCCCTATGGGCCTCATCCATGGTTCGGCAGAAGGGGGATATTGTCAGGATATTGGCTTCTCTTTAAGCATTATTGACTGCCTCGTTGGCTGAGTGGTCGCAAGTGCGACTGCCGGGCAAGGGGTCTCGGGTTCGATTCCCGGATCGGGCAAAGTATTACTGAGTTTTTTTTAAAAATCTCAGTAGTAGCACGGAGTCTGGAAATGTGCCCGGTATATGGCAATAGGCTCACCCTCTATTACATGGGACTTATAACATAAATAGTGAGAAGTGGGTGTTACATTGTACAGTGGCATTAAGTGCCCAAACGTGCACCTCTGCCTACCCCTTCGGGGATAAAAGGCGTGATGTTATGTCGAATCTAAAGTCCCTAAAACGCTGAGTGTCATTGACTCAATGCATTCTGCTGTAACTGTAGATCTCCCCTATAAGTGTTGCAGTGGTTGTAACTATTTAAATGGCGAATCTATTGCCTTTAGCTATTGATGATTTTAGTCTCCATGCTACTTAAACTGCTACATATACAATTCTAAGCTATCAAACCCTGATTTGACAATAACCGCTAAACAAAACCGATGTTTTCTTATTTCGACTGAGGCTTGTGACATTCATAGGAATACGTGCAATTTATCATGTGCATTTTTATTTATTATTACCTCTTGGGAATACATATTAGGTAAATACGTCATAAATATCAATATATCCCAATTTTTTCCTGAATACTCAGCCGAGAAATATCCATAGTGTTTACTGATTGCATACTGGCTATCCATACTAGGATTTATTTGAAAGACATCGCCTTATGTAATAAGGCTGCCTAATGTACTCAAATTACTATTACAATTTAACTCATGAGTTATTGTATGTGTGCAATAAAGTATAAAATATAAAATAGTACTGTGGTAATTTGCGTTTAGCAGATGGCGCTCCAATCGTATTATGTCACCAGCCTCTTGTCTTAAGTAGTTCGATTTATAGCACTCATTATTTTTGAAAAGTTCTTTTTGTTAGTTCGATAGTTTTTTTTTTTGTGATTAATTCTGAAGAGACGATATTTTTTTTTTCTTGAACGTCACGTAGTTGCCAAATAGATGTTTTTTAGCACTTTTCGCTATATGCACGTATTGTTCGTTTTTTAATAGATAAGTAGGTTTAGAATTCTTTACCTGTATTTAACTTATGAAGGCTATTTTTATAAGTAGATAGTTTTTACACACATTTTTTTATATACAAACATACATTACATTACATTTTTGTATTAGATGTTATTTATCTCTAGGATCTAACGACAAAACACTATAATGTTATGTTACTTCCAACACTGTTAAGTGTCTCATGCATGAGGGTGCGGGTTCGAAACCTACCAACGGTAACTACCGATGTGACTTTTTCCGAGTTTTATGTACTTTCTAAGATTATTCAGAGACCACTGACAAACGGTGAAGGAAAACATCGTGAGGGAACTTGTACTTACAATTTCTAATTATAAGTTTGAAATCACTAACCCGCATTGAGCAAGCGTGGTAATTAATGCTCAAACCTTCTCCGTGTGAGAAGAGGCTTTGCTCAGCAGTGGGCATTTATAGGCTGTTGATGATAGTTCCAACACTGAACAGGATTCAAAATTGATATCAAAATAATCTTACCCATTTAGATGATTCGATTGATATTTTGTTTAGCATAAACAAAAAGTTTTAAGTCGTCGTTATAAGCCAAGGATACACTATGGTACGAATGTCCTGCAACACGTGCCGCCAGCGACGTTGGGTGAAGTAGTCGCGATGTTGCCGGACTCTGGCAACACTAGGAGTTCAGTTCTTCAAGAGGGGACTAAATATCGACTGCACGGTTGGCGCGGTGGCTGGACAACCGGCTGCCGTGCAACGTGTCGCGGGTTCGATTCCTGCACGGAACAACACTTTGTGTGATCCACAAATTGTGGTTTCGGGTCTGAGTGTCATGTGTATGTGAACTTGTATGTTTGTAAACGCACCCGCGACACAGGAGAAAATCCTAGTGTGGGGCAACGAGATTTCTTAAGGGTCGGCAAGACGCATGCAATGCCCCAACTGTTGTAAGCATACATAGGCCACGGTAACTGCTTACCATCAGGGGGGCTGTGTGCTATTTTGCCACAGTCGTGGTATATAAAAAAATATCAACGTCGCAGTGTATGTCACTCGAAATCGACCAGCTTCGCTTGACATGTCGTGCAACATTTGCAGCGTTTTTTTATGGCATAAGCTGGTAAACGAGCAGACGGATCACCTGATGGTAAGCAATCGGCGTAGCCCATGGACACCTGGAACACCAGAGGCATTACAAGTGCGTTACCGGGCTTTTAGGGATTAGGAGTTTGAGGTTCGTTGGGGATTCAGGAATTAGGGAGTTTGTGGAAGGGCAGGGTTATTGGGCCTCCGGTAACCTCACTCACACGACGAAACACAACGCAAGCGTTGCTTCACGTTGGTTTTCTGTGAGGCCGTGGTATCACTCCTAATGTATCCTTGGCTTTATGCTAGTAGCATTCAACTTTCAATCGCAATAAAGATATACAAAACTCGTTTTTAAGACTCTGATAACAATCTATTGAATCTGTAATAGATAGATATAAAAATAATCTAGTTTCTGTGGTTTAGATAACGTTAGAATCATCAAGAATATTAAAAACCCGTGGCATCCTAATACTAGGCTATAAGTCTCCTCTACATAAGAGGATTTGCTATAATCTGTACGGTTGTCATGGTGGCTAGGCAACTGGCTGCCGCGCAACATATAGCGGGTTCGTGTGTGATCCCCATATTGTTGTTCCGAGTCTGGGTGTCATGTGTATGTGAAATTATATGTTTGTAAACGCACCCACGATACAGGAGAAAAGACTTGTGAGTAAGGCAACGTTTTTTTAAAGAAAGACAAAGCGTTGCTACCAGGTATCTTTGAACCCAACCCTTTGAACGTAGATATGCGCGAGACGCAATGTGTTTTCTATTGTGTCTCACATAATAAGTTCTTTAAAGCAGATAATAGGTTCTTTAGCCGGCTTTTATGCCACAGAAAGATTGATTTCCGAAATTGACAACTAATCTTTAAAATTTGCTGGAACTATCTAGGACTCTAGGTTATTAAAAGTAACTCGATACTGACAATTGACTCTGACTGTCAGTAGATTAGTGTTGAAGAGGAATCTTTCGCTAGCTATGTACATATGCTGTGCCTAAGACAGTTCAAGGGTTAATGTCGATGCATGTAAGGTATTAATTTTGACCATAAGCTTGCTTGAATCAAAATCGGTTCATCCGTTTAGATGCTATAAAGCTACAGATACACAGACAACACAGAAATCAAACTTACGACACCAAATTTTTTATGTCCGGCTGTAAAATATACTTTTGAATGTCAAAGCATGTTTTAGCACAGCTAAATGTAGTTTTAGAAATTCTCTATCATATTAGTTTCTTACCTAGATAATAATAAAATGAAACTACATACAACCGAACATACATTATAAACTATACTAGCTACTCTTTCGCGGTTTCTTCCGCTGCTCAGCTCATATTTATCGTAGCGTGATGTTTTTTGTGATAGCCTATACCCTTCCTCGATAAATGGACTATCCAACACAATAAGAATTATTCAATGCGAACCAGTAGTTCCGGAGATTTACGCAAACAAACTCTAGCTTTTAAGTAAAAACAACAAACTAGTTTCTACAGAGGGGTTTTTCGAACTACAGAGGGGTTCTACAGGAAGAACCCCTCTGTGGTTCGAAACTAGTAGAGCTTTTCTCAGTATTTTCACGTGAGTAACCCGCGTTTTTGCTTAATTTAGTATGTCTCACGATAGTTATTATAAAAACAAAGTCTAGCTTTATAATTTTTCATTTAGATTCATACTTCCAATGAATTGCGTGTTTTAAACCATAAAACAAACTTAGAGCTATATCATTATAATGGCATAGATAAATAAATTTACCAGTCGTTTTATTTACACTGTTAAACGAATATTTTTCATCACGTATTTTCCTTTTTTCCTTATTTCCTTAACGTTTACATAGCAGTTAGTGTATGTAATTAGATTAATGTTTGTCATTATCTAACGCGAAAACTGATGAAGCGTTTTCGATAAAATTTTCAAATCATTCAATGATTTTCTGCCGCCGCCGCGCCGTTGGTTAGGCGAGAGGGAGTGTCAGACTCTTATTTACTTAAAACTACCCCGTTCCTACTCGTCTTTGAGCCGGAGCCCCGGCAACCCGGCCTTTCTCGGCTCCGTATTAATTTCACCCGTGGATGGATAGATCATTACAGTTGTCGAATTTGATAATTTTAGGTGAACTCCGTAGTAGCATTGGACTTTCAAAATCGCGTAAATTCGACAGAAAGATGCGTATAATTCAATCGCGTTATTTTTACATGATAGGCACAATATGTTTTAAAAAAGGTTTTTTGGTGAATTGTTAATCTATTTTGATATCAAGGGTTACTTTAGACGGGCTAGCAGAAACAAAGAGTTAGAGTTTTTGCTATCTAAGTAAACAGTGCATATATATAAATATGTGATAAATACAGATTATACTTAGATTAATAGATGATTTTGTAATAGATTCTGCCACCGGCTTCGTTTTCGAGGGATAGATAGTAGCCTATGTGTTATTCCAGACCGACCTTTAGCCGTTTTGATATGAAGAAGTAACAAACAAACTATCAAACAAACAGGTAGTAGTAGTAGGTTAAAAGTTAAAGTTATCTCTTGATTAAACAATGACACATTGGACTAGATTAACTTACTAGCGTTATATTAACTTACAAAAAGAACTTTAAAATTAAAGTCTAAAATCGTACCAAAAACACGAACAGAAGAACATCACACATTTCGACCTCTCCCTAAAAACTATAGCTCCACTCCTAGCCATATTATGTTAATCAATTTCCTACCAGATGTCGATGTGCAGTGCACCGCTACGTGAGCTCAGCAACCCTGGAGCGTCCGGCAGCATCTTCTACCTAACCAACGATGACGAATTCATCATCAAGACTGTCCAGCATAAAGAGGGAGAGTTTCTTCAAAAACTACTGCCTGGATACTACTTGAATTTGGATCAGGTATTTTTAGAGTTCATTTTTCTTTGACAGCGCTAGCTAAAATAGTCTTTATTGATGCTGTGTGGCGAGTAAGTGTATGCCTTATTTGCGAGGAATTAGAGTTGAGTTTTGTTTGATACTATTTAGTATTATTAACCATTTGGTTGATAAGGTACTAAATCAGTTTTGTTTGTGATAGAATATGAACTTTATTGACTAAATTGAAAATTTTAGTTTGTTAAAGAGGAAAAGTTCCTTCAAAAATTTGGATCAATTATTTATGGAGTTCATCTTACTCCGACGGTAAAGTGAAAGTAAATGTTAGTGGTTGTTGAATGTTTAACGAATTTGTGTTTTGTTTATGAGTGATTATTGCCCGAATACTGAAACGTTACTCAATTTTAAGTCACGCTTAAGTATAGTTCTGTCACCACTAATTCTTTGTGAAATGACAGAGATGGCACGATATTTAAGTACGACTTAAAATTGAGTAACGTTTCAGTATTCCGGCATAAGACTGGATTTGGTTTGAATGTAAGACAGTAATAAGGTAGTAAAATAATTTTAGTGGTGATCTAATTTAACTAACTTAAATTGAACTAATTTAAAATCGAAATGAACTAACGACCCCAATTTCTCAATATTACAGAACCCACGTACATTACTGCCAAAATTCTTCGGTTTATATTGTTACCAGTGCAACAGCAAGAACGTACGACTCGTAGCGATGAATAACTTGCTACCGTCGTCCATCAAACTACATCAGAAATACGATTTAAAAGGATCCACTTATAAACGGAAGGTATGTTGCATTCAATTTTAAACTTTATATGTTGTAATATAAAGTCGAAACTACAATGAATATAGACCGTTTTGAAATAAACTGCTCTGCTAGCCTACTATACCTTATCCAACTGAGAATTAGGGCTTCATTTAGTAGGACGAACTTATACAAGGTAGCCCCTGGATGCAAGGCACTTCCTACTCCGGTATGACTACCGGTCTACCTCTACGCCTCTCTCGATGACACGACAGAGGCGTAGAGGGATAGGGTCAGTAATACTCAGATGTCTTGTTCTCTGATATAATGATGACGTTGAATTAAATAGATCCGTTTATACGATACTAGGTTTTACTCGCGGCTTTGCCCGCTTATAATATTTTATCCCATGGGAGCTAGTATCCCCATCTCTAAGTCAGCTTATACCCTGCCTGTATACTAAATTTCATCAAAATCATTAATTAGTTTCAGCGTGATTGACAAACATCTAAACAAAGAAACTTTCACATTTTTAATATAAGTGTGATTCGTCAGTCATCATCTTCAGCTAAAAGTATCGAAAGCAAAAAAAAAGCCTAACTTTTACGGCGCCCTACGGGACATATATCAGATATATTAAAGAGGGGCCAAATTAAAAGTGCCACTTTGTTAATGAGACACTTAAACACTATTATCGAGTCTACAATTATGCCATTTTTAAAGACCACCTACCAAAGACTACTGGAAGTCATTAGAGCTGTGTACTGCATTAGACATCTTTCGATAAATATGATGATCACTAATAATTTCGGTAGTCTATATTAATTAATGTGATATTTATGGCAAATCAATGATTTTGATCTTTCTTTATTTGTAAACAAGGACTATTATCAATTATCACGTACTTTATACAAGAAAATTGCTTTCAAAACTTCCAGGCGAACAAAAGCGAACGTCAGAAGACGTCGCCTACGTACAAGGACCTGGATTTCATGGAACATCACACTGAAGGTCTGTTCCTTGAAGCGGACACGTACAACGCACTCATTAAGACCATGCAGCGGGACTGTAGAGTGCTGGAGAGTTTTAAGGTAAGATGGTAAAAGAGGATGGCCTTTTATAGACTATGATCTACAAACGAGGAATCATATCACCTGATGGTAAGCAATCGGTGCCGCCCATGGACATCCGCAACTCCAAAGCAACTCGCGAGCAACCACCCGGTTGGCTTTTAACCCGCCAACACCGGTTTTCCTGGAGCACAAATCCACTCAAGACACAATGTGTTTTCTATAATGTCTCATATACACGCAGAGCAGAAGTTAAGGGATTGACTATTTGAGATTTGGGGATTGGAGTATTGGAGAGGGGAGGAATTGGGCCACCGGTAACCCCACTCACACGGCTGGACACAACTTGCATTGTGTAGCAAGAGCTTGTTTCACGCCGGTTTTCTGTGCGGCCGTGGTATCATTCCAGTCGAGCCGGGCCATTCGTGCCGAAGCATGACTCTCCCACGCTTAAATGGAAATATTACGTTAAGGTTAATGGTGCTTATTTTAATTTTCAGATCATGGATTACTCCCTCCTAGTCGGCATACATAACCTGGACGAAGCTCAAAGAGAGAAAACAGAGGCCAGGAAACGCACTGACTCAGGTCAGAGTGACGGTGATGATGCCGAGGGAGAACCACGGAAAGGACTGAATAGGACGAGGTGAGTTAGAGAAAGAGACAATAGATCTCTTTTTGAAAGTCAAAAATATAGTGAAAATGTGTATGTCAGGCATCTAGTTAACTTCGTTCAAAAATGTACAAAAATGTAAAATGTATAGTTATGAACAGTATGAAAAAAAATATCAATATATATTTGATAGCTGTCACAGTTATCAACATCACGTTTGACAGAAGTGAAAGCTGTTAGTTATCATCATTGTAACATACATGTTGTGTAAATTTTTTAAGAGAGGTATAATTTATTTACGTGTATTTTTAGTTTTAATGAAGTTAACTAAATAACCAATTGTACAGTATTTTGACAGTCTTATTTGGATCACTATATCCTTTACGTTTTTTATGTTTATCATATAAATTTATTCTTAAAATCTTCTTCAAAATTGTTATTATTATTTCATTTCATTTCTTTTCGTTTGATATTGTTTCAAAGCCATCTTTTATCTTTTGTATTTTTTTTCTTTATCTTTACTCTGTCGGTGACGGCTTTCTATAGTTTTTTTGTATTGTAAAAATATTTCAGATCTGAACAGGGCAAGGAGGATTTCACCGCGCAAGTGAAAAGAACTCAGTACGATATAATTTGTTATATTGAATGTTTTTTTTTTATTAATATTTATTAATTTTTATTTATTATAAATAATATTGGCTAATAACTTGTTTGTACTTATAATCATTGTCTTGTTATTTGTATGATAATTATTCTATTTTTTTTTATCTGGTCCGGGGTTGGTTATCGGTCTTTTGAGATATTTTTTGTAAACTATCTTTGAGTCTAGTATTTTGATCATTATAACAAAAATCTATTAAACGTCACCAATATACCTTTACAGTTTTAGTGAAATTAATTGTTCGAGGATGCTCGACTACTTTCGAGTTAAACCGGAGCTCATGATCATGAGCTGCGTAAACAACAAAGAGTTTTCTCGAACAGTCATTTGTCTATCTAGTGTTATATAACTCAAAATACCGATAAAATGTGTTCATATAAAGGTTATGTGATCTTATATAACTGGAATTAACTTAAGAAAGACTCTTATGAATGTATTGATTTATTATAATTGTATGCATGTTCTAACATTTATATGTTTGGGGTTCCATTGTGTGAATTATTTTTGAAGCGAGTAAATATGTGCTTAATTTCTTGTTTATCTCTGGCAAGGTGATGATAATAAGAAGAATAATAAACGTCAATATATTTGCTATCTAATTAGTTTGTAGGATATTTCCTGAATTAAACAGACAACTAAAGGATACTTTGAAAACAGCAAAGAACATTTATTTTAAAACGAATATAAATAAAGTTTTCGTTTCGTTATTCCTTCTGCACGATTGGTAAATGCTATCCTAACTATTCACGCCTTTTATCCCCGAAGCGGTAGGCAGAGGTGCACATTACGGCACTTAATGCCACCGTACAATGTAACGCCCACTTTTCACTATTTATGTTATGAGTCCCATGTAATAGGGGGTCAGCTATTGTCATATATCGGGTACAATTTTAGACTCCGTGCTAATACCGAGATAAAAAAAACTGCCCGACCCCTGGAACTTGATACCTTTTACCCGGCAGTCGCTCTTACGACCATTCGGTCAACGAGGCAGGCATTTATAGTATTTATCGTTTTAACATATTATACATTATTTAAAGTATAATAAATAAATTAGCTTTATAGATGATTATACAACTTTGGGACCCCAAAAAGTGAATGTGTATGGAATCTAAAAGCATGCAGCTATCTACATACTTCTTGTTGAATATTATCATTTATTCATTCGTTCGTTTAACGTTTTTAAATCACGCCATTTTTTGTCTACGACTGTTGCTTATATGCACAAGTTTTATAACTATGCATTATCTCATAAAAATTTCGCTGGAGTTTAGAGAAAAGAGATTTTTCTTCTAGAGAAGAATTTTAATAGTAGTGTAAGAGTTTTTGATGTCATACATGTAGTTTCTCTTGCGTATCAATTGACAAATATCATTTAATTGAAGTACGTATTCATTATTTCATAATACCACGAACTTTCGAACTATTATTCGAAATGTTTTAAACTGTCAAACACCGCGAGGACACCGGTGTCCGCACACCTATTGTTCTTTAATTGTGTCTATAATGACGGTACTCAAAGGAAGGAAAATCGCCATCTTAATACAATGAAACAAATAACATTTAACTGAATTAATAATTACTAACGGCCCGCCCCGGCTTCGCACGGGTGCAATATGCATGTATTATACATATAAACCTTCCTCTTGAATCACTCTATCTATTAAAAAAACCGCATCAAAATCCGTTGCGTAGTTACAAAAATTTAAGCATACAAAGGGACATAGTGACAGAGAAAGTGACTTTATTTTATACTATGTAGTGATGTTTTCGGCTTACTCACGTAACTGTTCGATGAGGAACTCAATTATTTACTAGCCATGATGCTAGAAGCTCATATTTCTTGACCAGCATTCCGGTGCTCATGAATGAGCCGGCTTATGAAAGTTTTAACATAATAAAAACATTTAACCTGTTAACCAAGTGCTATATATAAAGAAACGAGCATACTACACATGTATAACATTCTCATATAAATAATATCCCATTAAGATATTTCCAGGCGAACATTTCTCAACAAAGAAATTATATATACGCAATTTGTCACCCTAAACTTGTGCATATAAAGCACCATTTCACTTGAACATCCATATATAAGTGAACGATTATATTTACAGGTCAATAAACCGACAGCGATTGGTGGCTCACTCCACCGCGATGGAGAGCATACAGGCTGAAAGCGAGCCTATTGATGAAGAGGAAGATGTGCCGTAAGTATAGCCTTCATATTATGTTTTTACTTACATTTTTTTATGGCATAAGCCGGTAAACGAGCAGACGGATCACTTGATGGTAAGCAATCGGCGTCGCCCATGGACACACCTGGAACTCCAGAGGCGTTACAAGTGCATTACTGGCCTATTGGGATTTTTGAGGAAATTTGAGGATTGTTGGAATCGGCTTCTCTCCCCAATCACAACAATCCTCAAATTGGGGTAATTGGGCCTCCTAAATAACATTTGTTTACATACAAATCCAAATACAATGTATATGTCTCAGTTAACTGGTTCCATCAGCTTTTTGATGGATGACTAAAGGACAACTCGTCAAGTCGTTGAATAACACGTTCATCGTCTAGACTGAACGTTACTAAAGTCACTGAATGGAATATAGCTGACCATGAGTTTGGGGGAATTCTCATTCTTCCCTAATACTGCTCCCAAGACTAATGATTTCTGCCCCACAAAAAATGTCGTATTACTTATTAAATAGCCCTTTAACAATGATAATCTTCTCATTGGGAACAATAGATACTATATCTTAGGTGAATAATCAATTAATTCGACTTTTTAAACCAATACGACAAACAAACAGTCGACTGCACGGTTGGCGCGGTGGCCGGGCAACTGGCTGCCGCGCAATGTGTCGCGGGTCCGATTCCCGCACGGAACGACTCTTTATATGATCCAAAAATTGTTGTTCCGGGTCTGGGTGTCATCATGTGTATGTGAACTTGTATGTTTGTAAACGCACCCACGACACAGGAGAAAATAATAGTATGGGACAATGTTTAAAAAAATATGATGAAGTCATCTAAGTATTGAAGTTGACTAGTAGGAAAATGTCCCTGTCTACAAATTATATTGAATTTCATCAACAAATGACATTCCTATTTTTCTCTCCCCAGTCCTGGCGGCATTCCGGCTCGGAACGCGCGTGGCGAGCGACTCCTCTTGTTCCTGGGTATCATCGACATCCTACAGTCGTACAGACTGCGCAAGAAACTCGAACACACGTGGAAGAGCATGATACATGACGGGGTGAGCTGACTTGTTTTTGTTCTTGTTCTGATTAGGAGTTTGAGGATTGATGGGGATTCAGGGATTGGAAGGATTGGGGAATCACAACGCAAGCGTTGCTTCACGTCAGTTTTATACTCGGCCGTGGTATCACTCCGGTCGAGCCGGCCCATTCGTGCCTCTCCCACGCTTAAGTTTGTATTACCGACAAAGTACTAATGAGGCTTCAGAGAAGAACTATTGAGTATATGATTTCACTGAAAATAATCAGTTCTATTAGTAGTAAAATAATAAAATTATTATTTCATGACATTGACCCGGTAGCTATTGCACTAGCTGGCCGGAATGGTTGCTGCGCTATAAATTGTTTTCCCGGGTTTTCAATGCGGGGGCAACTATGTTTGTAAACGCACAGGAGAAAATCTTACTATCGAAATTATTTATTTAAATAGGTATACCAACAGCTTCTGTATACATACATAGTATTAAGAGATAACAAAGGTAACAACAGGTATTGGGCTTATACTGTCGTCAATTATAGGTCAACTTTACAATTTTAACTGATAAAAAAACTATAGAAACGAACTAGGTAAATAAAATTTTAGTAAACAGAAAAAATAAGAAACTACTACCTACTTACGAAATCAACATTATTATGTTAAAGGAACATGATGATGACACTTTTTTATTAAATAATCTGTAATTAAATTACTTCCGAATTTCAGGACACCGTCTCAGTACACAGACCGAGTTTCTACGCGCAGAGGTTTTTAGATTTCATGGCTAAAACCGTTTTCAAGAAAATACCTTCGTGTGAGTATTACTCTATGCTTCACTCTATCTACTCTATGATCTCTACCTTTATCTATGGTAACAAATGTTGCCATCTACAATATAGGGTTACCAGCCTTATAAAATCAAAGTATTTTTCTTCTATTAAAATCCTGTCACTAGTAAAGCTAAAATCATGCTATTCTCTCATGAATATTATAATTAAATAGATACCCAATGTTTTAGTTATTATGTGTTTTTGTCTTATTGGAGATGGTTAGGTGATAATGTAAAAAAAATATGAAATGGTTACTCACATGAAGTATGATTTGCCTTAACATTGATGGTGATTAAAAGGTTATTTATGTTTTAGTGTTTTACTGAACTTAATGCGAACATTTTGGGTTCGACTCCCCGGGTAATGCAGGAGTTACTTTAAAATAAAACAATATTTGTGAATGTTTATACTATTTAATTCTATTCTCATTCAATCTACCTAATGTCATCAATAAACCTTTCCATCTCCAAATAAGATTTTCGAAATAGGTCCCCCGAATAAAAATCCAAATTACTATAAAAATATGGACACGACTACCAAATAGTAACTAGTAATAATTATGTCAGAATATACGCGGCGGATCAACAACCTTCCTTCTTTACAACTAGATTAAGTATCTTTTTGCTTACCTAATAAAAATAAATAAAGGAATATACGTGATGAGAATGGTACTCTTCAAACCTTTATAATCATTTAATAATTGTCAAACAAATATCAACCTTATGCCAATGCATAGCCAGCTTCCAATGTAGCTGGCTGTTGTATCAAACTAATTGCAATCTTAAGAGTCAATACTCAAACTCGTGTTTATATTTTTACAGTGTACTTTGATCTCCAATAGATAATTGCTAACTTTGTGTCTAACGTCTAAATGTGTCCTAATATTTATAATAGGGGGTGTTGTGTACATAATTTTAAGACTCCAAAATATGCATTAAACGAGACATAAGTGTCGGTGAAATTAATTTGAATTTTTATATTATACATTTCTATTTGTGTATTGAAAGTTGGTACCGAAAAAAGTTCAATCCGAAATAAGTTTGTTCCGAAAAAAGTTCAAACTTAAATGAGTTCGACATTAAAGAAAATAATATTTGTTTTAGTTATTCACGTAGGTAATGTCAAATTTATGGCAGTATGAGTTTAAAAAAATATACTTTTACCCTAGATAGTGGAGGATTTTATTCATAAATGGAGTCTTAAAATTATGTATTCTTACGAGAAAAACGTTGCCTTATGTGTTCTAAATTATAGAAAGGACTGTTTCCTTTAGCAAAATTATAATTATAATCAAGAACGGCGCCATTTTGGTCTTGATTTTCAACGTATTTGTTATTTTAAACACTTTCTAAATACTGTCATTACAAAAAAGAGAACAGGTCAAGTTATCTTTGTCTTGAACGCCAATTACATCGTACATTTTTTATAAAACATTCTAGAAGAGAAAGCATCTAAAGAAAACATCAGGGCTTTCATTGTTTTCTTATTTATATTTATTTGAAATTCTATATGCAGTTAAACAAATGAATTTGCTATGAAGACCTATATCAACTCTTTCAAGAGAAGTGATATGAAATTCATTGCGCTTACTATCTCACATTTTTAACTCTCACATTTCGAGAATTGAAAAAAAATCACGTCATTTTGATTTCAACCATACTACACGAAACACAACGTTGAAAATTCAGGCCAATCATACAGCGCCCCTACAATAAAAATACTAAACATATACTATATGTTAAACCAGTGGACCTTCCTGAGATCAAGGGGAATCATCGCAAATTCCGAACGCTAGTCACCTCCTATATAGGTACCGTAGGGATTAATGTGACTTTTTATATAATATATTATATATAATGTATTGTGTGTGTGTATGTGATATGGGGAGCGGGTGTTGGTGAATATAATTATAGAAAAATAGCCTCGAAGACGTTTATATCAGGATTTTTATATATCATTTATAGTGTGACCGAAAAAAGTTCATTACAACACCGGGAAAAGTTCGAAAATGTGTATAAAACATGTATACTCTTTTATATGACGCGATATGGTACGATTTTGCCGTAACACAAATATAAAGTTTATTGCATTTCACCGTATTTTTATATTTTATCCGATAAAAGTTCGACTTAAAACCGAATTGAGTTCTTTAAATATGTATAACAAGAACTTGTTAAAATGATTTTGGTACTTTTTTGTCATCGTGGATCTCGTCACTGTTTCTTTATAAGAGTTGACTGAAATAGTATAAACAGTACGATTTCATGAGGCCGATCCTCTGAATAAGACAAAGTACATATATCGGGTTTCTTCAATATTCGAGTTGCGTAGTTAGTAATCAATTGACGTTTAGTGGCGACACCTGTATATTTCTAATAATTCCTTTAGGGAATACTTTATTAGGTCGTTGTTTTGCACTGTGTGTTAATAGATAATCGCATGTTTTGTTGTTTAACAATTTGTGACAAAAAGTGTTATTGACAACACGAGTCTGTAGAAATTATATATTTGTATTAGATTTGAAGCTAATGGATATGCAATATAAGAATTATAAAAAATATGTTTTATAAAATCATAATAATTATATCTTGGGTTAGAATCCCATGATAGAACGTAGATAGTTGTTTTTTTTACCCGACTGCCAAAGAAGGAGGGCCTTTGTGACCACCTGTAGCCTAAACGGCTTGATGGATTTTGATGTATGAGGTATCGTTAGATTTGTCTTGATTACGGGAGTGTCATAGGATACATTTTATCCTAAAAGTCCCACGGGATAAAGACATAATAATATTTTTTCTAAATTTCCCTTTAAAAAAATATGTATGCGGTATCATTAGATTCATTTCAATCACGGGAGTAATTAATATAGGATACGTTTTTTCTCAAAATTCCCACGGGAACATGTTAATTCTGCGTCAACGCAAAGCAACTCATGCGTTAGCAAGCAAAAAGATAGGGCGTGGCCTGGCATGCGGCGCGCGGCGCGGTGCGGAGGGGGATATGCTCGAGTATACAGCCCGATTGCGGGCACACGCATGAGGGCACACGTCGTTGACGGTCGTCTCTAAATAGCGATTTTATTCGATATATCCCTATTTGTATATATCGAAATAAAAACAGCTAAAAAGTTATAAATAAAAAAATTATTATTAAAAAAACAAAATACCCGACTGCACACTAAAAAAAGAGTAAAACAAGCCCCACAATAATATTGATCAATCAAATGCTAAAAACTAATTATGTAATACCGTTTAAACAATACCTATATTAAAATACACTACAATATGTGTTCGTAATCGATAGTTAAATAAACAGAAACTTATTTTGAATACAAATTTACTGAATATAATTTATAAATGTTGATGGAAAGCATCGCAGGCGGGGACCACCTTGACCGCCACCAACGAAAATTCTGCTAAATGGTGCACAACCGAAATGACTATAAATAAGCCTCTGTTGGTCCCCGCCTGCGATGCATTCCATCAACATTTATAAATTATATTCAGTAAATTTGTATTCAAAATAAGTTTCTGTTTATTTAACTATCGATTACGAACACATATTGTAGTGTATTTTAATATAGGTATTGTTTAAACGGTATTACATAATTAGTTTTTAGCATTTGATTGATCAATATTATTGTGGGGCTTGTTTTACTCTTTTTTTAGTGTGCAGTCGGGTATTTTGTTTTTTTAATAATAATTTTTTTATTCCTATTTGGAATATTTATTATGGCAGTCTCACATTCTGACATTCTGTGTCTATAATAAAAAGGTAGGAAAGAATGAAAATACTTACAGACTGACATATTTTTATCGTTTTATTGACCCTAGCTGGTATTATAAAAATATATGCATTTTAACGTAGTGTTAAATAAGGTCTTCATTACAAATAGTTATTGTTATAGATGATTAGAATGGTATGTTATGAACTTAGGTATGTATATAGTTATATTTGCCGTGTTTGTTTGTAGTAGAAAAAAATAGATTTTTTGTTAAAAAACGAATGAACACCAACACCTAAACCTCTATGTAGGAATTAGATAATAACGTGGTTTATTATTTTTAATTTGAACTAAAATTATACTCGTTTTATTTTCGAATTTTATTTCCTTTTCGTTCGGAGCAATATAATCAGGCATGTATTTAGACACTTTATAATTTGGATTTTTGAATTATTATTTTCGATTGTTTTTTTTCTAATTAAAATTGGATGCATAAGCAAAAGCATGACGATATAACGGAGATCATGCACGCCCTTGTAAAATGTTGCCAGCAAAAAATAATATCTGTGTTTTTTTCCATTTTTTCTTCCCGACAATTGTCCGTAATCGGATACTCGCGCGGGTCCGTGGAGGTCTGAGTAAGTCCCAGTTTTGGGGGTCCCAAAGCATGACGAATGTGACCCTGTGACCCTGTTTCCCTGTTCATGACCTTGATCTTCGATGTTTTGGAGTTTCCCAGTATTTTTTGGCGATTGTATTGTCTTAAATAAGAATAAAATTGCTTACACATTGATCAAAATCATAATTATGTATCCTTTTTGGTTTGTCGTGGGTGGATAAAAACTTGTCTAAAGTTAAGGATCGTAAAAGATACTTCATTTTTTCGTATCAGGGTTAAAATTGAAATATTCTTATTTATGACAATGTGCGCTATGTGTTTTTATGGTCTTGTACTTGTACAGTAGTACCCAACATTGCGAGTGGCTCCATCTACCGAGCTCACGCTCATTCATTCCCCTTTGTAGTTAGCTACCTTTATCTGTGGTTCCTTTCGAATTTCGAAGCACGTTCTTTCTCTATGTCTATTCTTTTTCTTTTTTTCGATTTTTTTTTTCATCTCTGGTCGAAGACGTTGTTTCGCAGTATGTTTTATTTCGGACTTTATTATTTTGGGTAAAATTGTCGAATGCGAAATGATGTCGTTTTGTTACATTTTTTTTTTTGAGGATGATTAACAATGTACGATCGTCATTTAATTTTTAGTTTTGTACTTATTTTATTTTCTATTTTTCGAAAGATGGTAATGTCAGATACTGTTATTTTTTATATACATATATTAATAAAACAATTGTCTTGAATTCAACCACATGACTTGGTATTGAGAAGAAAGTCAAAAAATTTTTAAGATATTTTTTCAGTTTTTTCTGATTTTTACCATCTTTCATAACATAATTTTTCACGAAATTCTTTCACTGTGTTTAGTAAGAGCTTTTTGAGAACATTTTTGAACAATTATTTTGCGATATTAAAGCGTTTTGTTTATTATTTTTTAGCGAAAAAGAGCTTTTTACATAGTGAGCTGATGTTTTTTATTTTAACGTTTTTTTTATATTTTGTAGTTATTGGAATGTTGTTAAGGTTTGTTACCGAGTTTTTAAGATCAGTTCATACCTATGTAAATAAATTTCGAACTTTTAAAAATTAAAAAATGAAATAGTTTTGACAATGACCTTGACCCCAGTATTCAATTCCAAGGTCAAGTAAAAGTTACTTCTAAATTCCCAATTTGATAATAAACTACTAAAAAATAGTGGTCTTAAAACCAAAAAAGATTTTATATGCCAAAATTTGGAAAATATAATAAAGTAATTGTACCAATATTAATGACTAACTCAAATAAAAATTCGATTTCTTAACCTTTAACTACTGACGTGGGTGTCTCATAGACGGCGTGTTCACGAATATAAGAATTTTCCAAAAAAAAAAACGTCCAAATAATTGTATTGTAGCTAAGATTACAACATAATTTTTTAAAGTTATGCGAAATATAGTTTATTGTATTTGAACCAAATACCGCTGATTCGCAATTCCTTAATAGAAAAATAATGTACTGATCATAATTCAAGTAAATATTGTGCAAATCAATAAATAAAAGTAATCCATTTCGATTATTTATTAAGGTGTTTGACACACGCCACGTCAGGTCACCATTTGTGGTATGAGTAAACCACGTCAGGACATGAAGGTTAACAAAGAACAAACTAGCTACCATACATTATTACATCAGAAATAAAGAAAAACAGACCTTACCAGCATTCCTTTTACCACTTACTAATGACAAGTCTAACTTGACCCCTCGTTTTTCTTAGCCCTGAAGCACTCGCCTTCGAAACGGAAGAGCATCGCCAAACCGGCTAGGCCACAAGAAGAAATTGACACGCCAGGTATTTATAGAATTTAATTTATTTTTTTGTAGTTAAATTGATGTTTTTTCGATTTTTTTTTTTTTGGTTAGTGAAGCCAGTTGATGTTGATTTTTTTTTGGGTTGGGTGTATTTTATCGATAAATGTTTAAAAATAAATTGGTTAAAATTGATATATTTTTTTTACTTTATAAGATGACATTTAAGTATTTTACAAGGGTTGCTGTTTCAAATATAGCAATTTGGAAGTTAAATTTAATCATTAAAGTAAATGAAAAAGATGCTAAATATGTAGTGACGTGTGTTATGACGTCACATGCTTATATATAAAGTGTTTATTGTCAAAATTTTTACTAAATTAAATTATTAAATATTTTTTGAGTAATTAGCTCCTTGACTAACATCAACTGGCTTCATTTTAATGCTCGATTTATGAAAGAACTAATATTAGTTTTATTCTATTAACAAAGTTAGAATTATTTTTCTTATATTAGTAGTTTGCCCCCAACTTATCCTAACACTGAATGCGACTTTAGTTGGTACCTATATATTATTATACATTTCAGTTTATTTTTGCCCCCAATTCCTATTCCCACCCCGGTGTTTGTACCCTGCTATTGTGATTCGTCCTTTTTATTTCGTCCTATTTTTATTACTATTGTAGATTATTCCAACATTTTTATCGAACCCGCGTTTGACGTTATTTCAAACAAAAAAAAAAGCAAAATTGTGATGTGTTTTTCGTTTTGTGCTAACGGTGTTGGTGCTCAACATGTCCAAAGCATGGTTTGCCGCCGGGGAGAGAAATAAACTGAAATGTGTACCATAGACAACGCAATCAACTTATTTGACATGAACATTTTTCATCCAGGACGTATCTACATCGGCAGACCGATTAAAGATTACAACCCTGACTTCTTAAGACAGTCGAGACTGTCGCCTAGGTCTTCAGTTAGATCGAGCATGAGCGATTTTACCGACACCACCATATCCACGTGGAATCAAAGGCATCCTAGCATACAGCCGCCGACAGAGTACCCCTCAGTCCTCTCTGACAGACTTAAAATGGACAGAGATAGACTAGTGACCTTCCCAAGACGTATAGAGTTCGACACATCGAACATATCTCGAGAACCAGGCACGTCTTACGGGAATAATGTCTACAGAACATCCATTCAGGATCGAATGGAGACGTTATCAGACCAGTTAACTAAAGTCTTAAGTACTGGAGCCGGGAGCTCGCATATCAACGGCAGCCTAGCCGACAGCGGGATCCAGACGGACAACACTAGTACCAGCGTCCCTCAAATATACGTAGAAGCTCATACGAACTTCCCAAAGAAGAAGGACGCAGCCGTTGACACGAGAAATGAGAACAACCTTCAAGACATACCTTTCATAGACGACGAAGACGACGAATCGAAATGGAAACGACGCTCGAATATTCTAGAAAAACACAAAAGCACTTCAAACATTCCAGAGAGAATTGACGAGGTTTCGTCCAAAGAACAATCCAATGAAAGATTAACGAACAGCCTCAACAGAGCAAAATCACCGACTTTTGTCGAAAAATTCAAGAAATTCTTCGTCGATATCGGTTTAGTCAAAACTGATAGCACTTTAGCTGCAGAGAACTCTAACACGTTACCAAAAAGCTTAGGTTCGAGTTATAGAAAGAGTGCGACGCCTAGTTTAGAGGCTAGAGAAACGGCGACTTTGCCGAAAGACATGCGATTCCGTAAAGTACGGTCGACGCAAACTGTCTACATCAAACCAGAATCTCCAGTAATGTCAGACAAAAACATACAAATATCGAAACATGTATCAGTTGTCCAACTGAACGGCGATGAACATATGAATGTGAAAGAGAAAGAATCGGAAACTTTCATTAAAGAAGTTGTCTACGTAAGAAGTATAGAAAAAGCTGAAATATATTCAGGAAAAGATAGCGGTAGCACCATTATCATAGTACCTCCAGCCGATTGAGTAACTCAATTCGTTAGATTGGTATACATTTTTTATCGATAGATGTCACATCTCTATCGATTCTGTTATCGATATAAATTGGTAGTGTACATAATTATATTGGGAGTTGTCGATAAATTCTTAAGTTATTAGTTTGCTATTTGTCGATGTAGTGAGAGGATTGTTATCGATGTAGCTCTGTTAAAAGACTTAGTTTTTATTTAGTAAATAACACTTTATTTGATGTTAGTATAATTTTTTGAATGACTTGGCTAGTGTTTGCAAAGATTATTATAATATCGATATGTTTTATCGATACAAATGACTCGTGCCTATTAAAACTTAATAAATATTGAATGTCAATTTTGAAATTATTGCGAGAATTTTATATCGATTCAATTAAATATAAGATATATAACGTCCTCCATTATATTTATTTATGCTTATTAGCCAAGTAAATTAAATAAATCGATATATCAATTCGATATATTACGTATGTTTAGTAAACTGTTACCATATTTAAAATTGTAGTAAACATAATTCAATCAAAATTACTCGATTAAAATTATTTAACGCTCGCTTTATTTTACATATTAAAAAAAAATCAGGAAAGATATCAAACTAAAAAATAAAATACTAAGTTTCAAACATTGATAAAAGTATCTAAACCAAAGTCTTTTAACATTTTTTTTTATCTGAATGTGTATCCCAAACTCCATAGAACTAACGTCACAGTAACTTGATAAAAAATAAATGAAATTAATATATTATTCAGTATTTAATTCTTCAAACTAAGTTCTCGATAAATAAGTCTCGTTGTCCAATGAGAATTTTCGCTTCATAGATGGCAGTAGAATCGTTTTTAATCCTTTTAACAATATTTTCAAGATGTTCAAGCTATGAAACTGCTTAAAAGACATATTTTTAGTGTTTAACTATGAGAAGTCTACGATTTGGCTTTAATGTGTGACAATTTATGTCTCTGGCCCAATTACCCCCCTCCCCAATCTCCCCAATCTCCCCAATATCCGAATCTACAACAATCATCAAATTTCTAACCCCCAAAAGGCCAGCAACGCGCTCGTAACGCCTCTAGTGTTGCGGTTGTGCATGGGCGGCGCCGATTACTTACCATCAGGTGATCCGTCTGCTCGTTTACCGGGTTATACGATAAAAAAGCCAAATTGTAAGATTGTCGCTTGAGTGTGACCTAACGCCCGAATACTGAAACGTTACTCAATTTTAATTTGTACTTAAATATCGTGCTATCTCTGTCATTTTACAATCAATTTGTAGGGACAGAATTATTCTTGAGAACGCCTTAAAATTGAGAGGCGTTTGAGTATTTGAACATAAGCCTTAAAATTTGTAATCAGCACCATCTATTGATCAGCGAAAATTCCATTTAATGGGACTGTGTGCTTGTGTCTTCTATTTTTCAAAGATTGAATTGTACGTATTGGTTTTTTGGAGAAGTTGTGTAAATGTAATAGTTATTGTTTGCAATGTATTTTTCTTTGTGTGAATACAGAGGGTGTTGTTTTTTTGAAGTAGAAATTATTATTATTATTATAAATATAAAAGTGGTCTTCTTAAACAACACTGTACTGGGATATGATATCGTGTTCGTTTGTATTGTTAATTTATTAGAAAAAATAATATTTTTATTATAATTTTTCTTGTGGTGTCTGTATTTTTGGTTTTTCTTTTTGTTATGTAAATCAGTTTTTTTAAAGGTTATTTTGTACTACAAAGGTTTTTTGAAAATTTCTGTTCCTTATAAAATGGTGTACATATAAAATTTACACCTCTGCATGATCTACAAAGTAAAATAATAATTTGTATTATTAAAATATTAGATATCACAAAGCAGAACTGATTTATATTTTAATTTTCTTTATTTCAAGCTCTTAATGAGTACTATTAAAATTATAAATGTCTTCCTATTGATAAATTGTAGTATGGTAGATGCTAGCACATCAAAGTATTTAAAATATCTACAAAGGAATATAGAATTTATAACTAAACATCAAAGCTTAAATTTATTTAAGAAATCTTGACAAATCGGAGTACTTTAACTATGCGATGTGTTTTAATGCGTAAACTATTACAAGTATGCTCGTCTAATTTCAGGATACGCAGGGGTTCACAATCGTGAACTTTGATATTAGTCACGATGGAGTTATTTGATGTGCTAGTGTCTATTGTTTAACTGCCAGTTTCGCAGGCCATAGACAATATCTACTTAACAGATACATACATAATGAAAATAAATTAGTTTTGTGTTTTTTGTCAATTAAATATATCGGGAGCTTGATCTGTGAAACTGGTCTATATCGTCCTCAATTATTAAATTAATACTCCCTAAATAAAATTATTAATTTGAACACTTAAAGAACAAAATAAATTGGTAAATAATTATAATTATTTAAATTAGCAACATTCCTGTACAAAACAAGTATTTATCGTGTCACAATTTAAATATAAAATCACACACACACTTAGGTACCTACCAAAATTAAATTGGTAAATTTTATCTGGATCCTATTTTGACAGCTGTCACAATTGACTTTGACGTTACCTTTGACACGTATGACAGCTGTCAGAATGTTCTGAATATGTTTTACGACGAATTATTGTGCTGTTTTTCACATGGACATAACTAAATGAAATCAGATATTAATTTATGCTTTTTTTTTTTCGAGACAATATAGTGCTGAATTATGTTTAGTTATGCCAAGTGAAGTTTATACGAAACGTTTTCATTGTATAGTACCCATTTTTAAAATAAGCACCATTGATATATTTACACTATTGACTATATTCCTAATTTAATTACCTTTCACAATAATTGAGATTAAATGAAAATTTGTTTGTGAGCTCAATTTTTTAATCTACAAATTTTTGTTCACGACTGTACTTGTGAATTTTATGCCTCATTATATACATAGAGCTTTGACTAGCAACTATGTAGTAACTACTAAATAAAGAACATAACTTCTTACAAAAAATCCACAAAAGTTGTCTCTGAACATCGTAAATAAGGTCTGTAATGGACAATGAGTGGAGAGCGGTCAACGGAGAATTTAGTTTGTATAAATTATCTGCCAGCAAAATATATAAATACATACATACATAACTTCACGCCTGTCTCCCATGGCTCCAATTGCTACGATTCCTAGATACCTCCTTCGCTTCATCAACAGTGACATATATCAGTTATAATAATATGAGACAGTCGAAACTGGCTCTTATAAGAATAAGAGCCAGTTTCGACTGTCTCCTTCGACATTCGTTCCTCAGTTGTTATTGACCGTAGTTCCTTGATGTTTTGATAAATGGATATAACAAAATTAGCGCATTCATACAAAACGAATTCTTCAGCTTTATAATATGTATCTATCTATCTTCTATATATAAATAAAAATGACACTCCGTTCGTTAGTCTCGCTAAAACTCTAGAACGGCTCAACCGATTTGGCTAATTTTGGTCTTGAAATGTTTATGGAAGATCGAGGAAGGATCAAAAGGTGAAAATTTAGGCTGTACGATGTCTGCCGGGTCAGTTAGTTAGGTATACACGCTGACATATTGATGGTTGTTTTCCCGCAGCAGAACGATTTCCCTTTAGTAGTACTATCGAATAATGCAAGTTACTTTTTGAAAAAATATTTTTTTTTCTCCTCATATACTCAAAAAAATAATCATCAACTCGAAAGCATGAGAAACGATAGTTTCTCTTCTAAAATGTGACGTCAAATCAATGTTCATAGTAAAATAATCTCTCGGACTAAGTAATACAGCATAAACTGCAATGCACGCGCGCGCGAGCGGATCGCCTCACGACAAACAACAAAGGCAACCACCGCGCTCTCTGTCACTCGCATCGGCCCGCATCGCCTCGCATCGCTTTCATTCACACCAGTCGCACCGCGAACGCCGTCCGCGCAACCACGCAAGCGCAGTACAATATTATTGCCGCCAAAATGGATCGCCATTACGTTTTTTCTAATGTGGAGTACGTAGCTATGGTGCAATTGTACGCGAGGGCGAATTATGATTTTTGGGCTTTTAATAACCCACACGTTATTCGGGAATGTGCGCATCAAGTGCGGTTTAGTGTAAACGTGTGGGCCGGTATAATAAACGGCTGCTTAATTGGTCCGCATTTTGTGACAGGACACTTAACCGGTGAAACGTACCTACAAATGCTACGTAGTGTTATCCCGGACTTACTAGATGACATTCCGTTAGCAGTGCCCATGGATGGCCTGTATTACCAGCACGATGGTTGCCCTGCGCATTATCAGCGCGCCGTGCGAGAGCACCTCGACTCGGTGTTTCCCCAGCGTTGGATCGGTCGTGGCGGGCCAGTGCCATGGCCACCACGAAGCCCGGATCTTACTCCACTAGACTTTTATTTGTGGTCTAATCTCAAACGCCTTGTGTATCGGCAAGAGTACGAAACTCGCGACGCGTTAAAAAGTGCGATAGTGGACGCTTTTGATGTGATTAGACGTGACAGAGACACATTATTAAAATTGAAAGCCAATCAGTTAAAACGTGCACGATTGTGTGTGGAACGCGGTGGCTTACACTTTGAACAATTGCTCCGTTACCGGGAAGTGTAAGTACTTGTACATTTGTAAATAAAACAATAAGATAGGTGATTAAAATCATTGTAAATACGTTGATTCCCATTTTTTAAATACGCCATAAATACTTTCCCAAATTCAGTAATAAACAAGATAATATCTCTTGATTAAATTTTGTTTTATGTTTGTGTTTAGTAAGTGTAGTTAAAAAGTATTTACGACGGTCCTAAGCCCGTTAAAGTATGAAGGGAAAATGGAAATCACTTGTTAGTAAATACTGAGTTATCAGCCTTTTGATAAGCGCGAGCGACAATGACAGCGGCCGGTGGCCGGTCGCGGCGGGCGGTACTATTGGTTCGCGGTTTCTTTCAAGTTTCGTGTATCACTATCGTAAAACTGCTATTTTTTTATTTAAATTAAAAACAACTTTCTCAATCTATTGTACTACTAAAATAGAATCATTTTACTGTGGGAAAACAACCATTAAAATATCACGGTGTATATTTGTAATAGTATTCTCTATATAGTACAGTCATACTGCCTCGTTGGCCGAGTGGTCGCAAGTGCGACTGCCGGGCAAGGGGTCTCGGGTTCGATTCCAGGATCGGGCAAAGTATCACTGGGTTTAAAAAAAAATCTCAGTAATTGAACGAAGTCTGAAAATGTGCCCGGTATAATGGCAATAGGGTCAACCCCTATTACATGGGACTCATAACATAAATAGTGAAAAGTGGGTGTTGCCTCTGCTACCTCTGCCTACCCCTTCGGGGATAAAGGCGTGATGTTATGTTAATGTTATGTTAAGTACAGTCATAAACAAAAGGTTCATAGAATTAAAAAATCGAGTTTATTGTAAATGGTTTAGTATACCTGCGTAGTTTAAGTGTATTGTTCGCCGAATGAACTGTTTGACCAAATTTTTATGTATATATTACGGTAATAAATGCGAATTTGTTGGATGATAACTTTGTTTTATTGTGTCAATTTCCCATTAGACATTTTTATTTTTTTTCTCAATTTTTTTTTCTTGTAGTCTTTAGATATTAGTAGATTTGGGTGCATGGTAGCGGTAATAGCCAAGTTCATTGAATATTTTTTTATTGTAATGTACTCTGACAAATATGACGTAATATTTTCACGCTGTCAAATGGATAGGAGCCGGATCGAGTGGGGTCGCCAGCGTGAAAGCAGGTGAGAATGAATGTCGTAATGTGATTGTCATGTTTTTGTTTTTACGACATAAAATAAATATAATTAGGTAAATAGGAGAACGAAAGGAAAGTTTAACCTCTCGCGCGTTTTTTGTAGACACGGGTGTACGATAGTGACTTGCACCGATTGGAAACTTTTCTGTGATGTATACAAGGTGTAGTTTTGAAACCGTGTCATTTCTCAGGGGCATGTCACAGAAGTCATAAAGGTTCAATGTAAGAGAAAATTTCGGGCTAATAGTTAAAAATACGGCTACAATAAATCGTTTAAGTTGGACAGTATTTCAGAAAAAGCGACAGCAATGTTTCTTATTTGAGCTTTATGGAATTAGGAATAATATCAATTACGTGTTTGAGTTTGTGTGTGTTAAGCCGCGTTATAAAGCTCGTTACAAGACGGCGGCGTGTAGTTCGCACTTACGGATTTCCGTAATTTACAGAAAAATGAAAAATATTTACCTACATTTTTTTTTTATTGATTCGGACTCAGAATCCATAGCTGAGTTACCTCCTAGAAAATGACGCGGCTTTAAAACAACACCTTGTATTTTCAAGTTGCAACCCGTTCTTTATTTGATTGAACAGTATAGTTATTCGCTTTCTATTTTAAACCTGTGTACGAGACGCGCGAGAGGTTAAGTATAGGTATGCTTTTTGATAAAATAAAATTGTGTCTTTCCATAGAGACAAGGCTTTTAATCAGTTGTGTTATTACTTGTCATATAACAGGGGCCATTAGCCCAATTTTTAGGCGTATTTAGGTGAAATAAAATCAATCTATACATATTTTTATTGTCCTGATAATAAAATTCTATTTAAATACAGTTATGTGTAATTTAATAAATATTTAAATAAACTTTTAATAAACAAGAAGTGTAGCAAGGTGTACACTTTTTAAACTATATTTAAAAACTAAAATATTAATCGTTCCACTTCCATTAAACCATTTGAATCAAATTAATCATTTTAAACAATTGGCTGATTGTAGATTTTTTTCAAAATTATTTGCAGCTTTGTTCTCAATGCAAAATTTACTCAACACATCACAAAGATCGATGTTGCTTTTGCTTATAATTGTCGACCGAAAATACGAAATTTGGCATATTTTTATTATATTTCAAACGTAATGTGATATTTCAATCACTATATCACTTGTCCCTTGCTACGCTTTTTGCTTTAAAACAAATAGTTCAATATTTTTTAACTCTTCGCCTTGTTATTTAAGTCGAACAAGGTATCTTAGGATATAATTCCTAAGTCGGATAAAATGTGATTTAAATAAAGACTTGAAATTCTAATCTGCCCGGTGAAATAAACAATTTGTCAGTTGTTATAATGAAAATAATTGTATAACTGATAAAAAGTGGATGTTACTTATAAATATGTCCACTTCAGTCGAGAGGGCTGAGAACATTTTGGTATATGCTTAAAGTAATAAAAACGAGACTGCGTTCGGTGCTCTGATTGGCAGGCTTAAAAAACCACCCAATAAGAGTGCCAAGCACAAATAAGTCTATCGCATTCGTAACGCAATAGCATATCCGATATAATAGCATAGCCGATACGGAGTCGCGGAGAACCTAACGGGTTACCGGGGCTCCGGCTCGAAGTGCAGGAGTATGAACGGGGTGGTTTTTAGTCAGTAAGAGTCTGACACTCCCTCCCGCCTCACCCAGGTGAGAGCAGTAATTCGATGATTTTCCCCCATTAAAAAAAAAATACGCAATAGCATTGAGCGCGATCGACGTCTTGATTTGTTGGTTCAGTGGAGCCGGCCAATCAGAGCGGCGAATGGTTACTCGTTTCAATTACTTTAAACGTAAACCGAATTCGTACCAAGCCTTATGTTATATTGTTTAGTAATTACTAATTATAATATAATTGCTGTTGTGTATAAAGAAACTTATGGTCATGTTATCTCCCCTTTTTCATGCTGCTCTGGCCTTATTGGACTTTTTCTTATTGGGTATATCATCAATCTTTGCTTTTGTTTCCACCCCCTAAATCTGCATGCTGTATTATTATTTAATATCTAACATAAACTTGATGCACCAATAAAAAATACGTTATTTAAACGGTCAAGCTCCATCTAAAAAATATAAATTTAAACACGCCATTTTGGATATATAATATTACGTAAAAACCCGTCTCACTGTAACTACGCTTCCATTGATACACAAATCTTTTAAAATATTTTTTATTGTTATTATTATTCTTATACTTATTACTCAAATTGTTTTCTAATGTGCCAAATTTTCCGTTTATACATTCTATTGTGTATTTTTATTGATATTATTGTATTATTAATAAACCTATACAAAATGTTGAGCGTTTTTGTCGATCGCCAGTTTCTTTATCGGATGTGACAGCACATATAACCCCGATATCGGTGACGTCACCGGTGTCCACGGCCGCTAAACTCACAATGTCGTCGGCTAAGACGACGACGGCCGCGTCAGAGCCCGACATCGCGTTCCCAGCTGTCTTGAAAGGCTCGCAAAAGCAGAGAGTCCCACCCCCAGTACCTCCAAGAGGGTCTCCTAAAGCTAAGCGAGGAGGCGCCGCCTCCCAAGCATCTAGCATCGACACGAAAGGTGATTATCCGAATTTAAACATCTCTGTGAGTGATATCCCTCCGCAGACACCTATCACTAGCAGCGATGACGATTTCTGCTTTTATGGGCATGATTTTAAGTTTAAAGAACCCACTGCATGTCGCATCCCACCGTCTGTATCCAACAGTTCTGTTAAGATCACCAAATTAGTTGCGTCAAACTCTTTCTTAGACTTCGTAGAAGAAGCTGACAGTATTACAGAGAGATCTCATCTTGGTAAAGATCTGATTGCTCAGACATCAATGATGGCTAAGTTCAATATTGATAAAGTTTTGAGAGAGCATTTAGACTCCGGAGACTATGATGACACGTCTCTAACGGAGTCAAGTAGTGAAGAACGCATTGTTATAGAAGAAATAAAAGATGTCGTTGAAGAAACAAGAGCTAAACAATCAAGAAGTCCATCGCAATTTGTCAAGGAAGTTGTAACACAGATAGGAGATAAGTTAACAGGCAGAACCCAATTAAACTTGGATTCCTCGTCGGAAAAGGTTAGCGTTCATAATATTAAGTCATCTGACTTGATATCAGCAGCCAGGACATTGAAGAAAGTAGCACCAGCTGAGAAAACTTTAGAACAAAGTGCAAAACCAGAATTAGATACTAAAGCAGACAAAAATGGGTCCAAACAAGGCATAATATCTGGTATCACAAAGAAACTAAACTTCAATCAGTCAAAAAGAGACAAAACCCGGACACAAGATAAGAAGCCGAAACCAAAAGTAGAAATACGGACATACAGACAAGGAATGACGAAAGACGAAGTTATATGTCATAAGAAAGCCAAAACTAAAATTGATATGTTTCAAAAACATATTTACAAAGTTCAAACCGATTCGGATAGTTCACGACGAAGCTCGATATCTTCATCACAAGATAGTAAGAAATCAGAGAAGCATATTGATACACAAAGACTAGTCAAAGAAACAAAGAAAGTGTTTGAACCTATTGAGTATACTCATGGAAGCTTAACTTCAGTAGATAGAAAACATTTCTCTTTAAAAACTACAGCTTTAAACCCAGTAGTTTCCAAATCAATAAGTGGTAATGTCCATGAGAAGATAAAGCAGTTTTCTGAGACGCCATTAACAAAAACACCGAACAAAATCCCAAGGAAGAAGAAAAGTAGCTTCAAGAGGAAATCGGCGAAGAAGATTGTGATTAAAATGAGAAAAGACGTAGAAGAGATATTGTAGGAGTTGGAGAAGAGAATTAGATTAGAAAAGAGGAGAAATTTGTTTTAAAAGCAGAACGGAATATTAAAAATTAAAAGCAAGACAATAATTTAGCAAGTTGGGATTTAAAAAACGTTTCGCTTGTGCGGCTCAAAGCCATTTTTATCAAAATATAATTTTGTTCTTGTTATTAGTTTAGCATGTAGATGTTTTAGAATGTGTTGTGATCCATAATTACTGCCATAGTTTTTATTGAGTGTATTTTTATGTTGTTTGCTCGGTCGTTTGACTTTTCATGGTTTATCATTATTCTCATCCCCAATATTTCTTACCTATAGTGCTGTAGTTTTTAGATATTCATATATAAACTGTTCGTTAGTAATTTTGTTAGTATTTTGCAAAAGATAGATAATATCTTCAATGTATGTTGTCGTATTCACTTACTAGATGGGAATACCTTTATCCGAAATAAAGCGTCTATCCAAGGTAGTAGCTGTTTTTATTTTTTTTTGAGATGTTAACAAGATTGCAAGCGAATAAGTCTCACATTCCGTAGTTGCTATGTTCACTCATTATAGTATTCATTTATTAACTATCACTGTTAGAAATATTACATGGGAAGTTTTGACAGAGTGAGTTATGTTAACTACTCTCAAATGTTCTAGAGGAACTATCTTTTGTTTTTTTGATATTATGACCTTGAGAAAAGTGGCCAAGTCTGTTTATTTTTTTAAATAAATCTTATTTACATTTTATGCAATACTTTAAAACTGGACGAAGCTTCGAATTATGTCTAACTAGTAGATATTTTCAGTTTTTGAAGTTTCGTAAAAAAAGACAGTAGCTTATATTCACAAAACCGCTTTTACTCTTTCTGTAAACCATGACAAATTATCGCAATAAATCAGTTTAATGAACATGAAAACCTTATTAAAGTAGAGAACAAAATCGGTATTTTTAATTCCTATACCTTCATTTATTCCTAAAAATAAAACACCATTTTACCAGTTGTAAAGAAATTATAAGTTCAAGTATGTTCTACCCTATTATACTACGTTTCATATTTTGTTAATTGCTTGATAACAGATCTGGATTTATTTCACAAAGACTAAATGAATTTGGCTACCTATAATTTACTACCCGTCCTTATTTGCTATCTATAATCTCTAGTCCCTATAATTTACAAAACCCAATTGTGAATTAAATTCAGAAGTCTTAGATGGCGTGAAAATACAAGTAGGCATTCATATCGTCACGGTCAAGATGAGATGAAATTAATTTCATTATAGTTAACGTATGAATAAAAAACTCAAAGTTTGTTAAGAATTCAACAACTTTAAAAAGAATTTCTTTTGAAACAACTGCCAAATGAGTCTCCATTACAAGTTTTAATCTCGTCTCATTCTTTCAAAGCATACTTAACCATATATAGCTTTTTGTACACCAACCAAAACGAAAGGTTACGTTCACAGTCACGTACATACCTATGCAAGTCTATTACCCTCACCATATCCTCATCATCATCACAGTAGACCCTTCAAACTTGTTCAATAGACTTTTTAACATCTCAGTAGACCCTCCAATGTTAGTAGAATAATTAAATCTTTCCTGAACTTATGGCTAGTCGAAGTAGTAACGCTAGTTACCCTTCAGGCGGTGCGCCGTTGTCGTGTTGTTCTACACCACCACCCCCCTTCGAAGAGGCACCGCCTCCAAGAACGAGTCGCACTAACTCCTCGTCAACGACGTCATCAAGCGCGTCAGGGAGACGCCGTGGTGCGTCTAGTGCTGCCAGTGTAATGACTACGTCATCTGCGTCGTCTCTGGCCTTGACGCCTGCAGCTTTGAGTAGTGCACGCAGTAATGATGCCAGGTATAGTGAAAATTTTGTTTATTACTATGTTATTGTCTCTTATTTGAACCGAAGCGAAAGGAAAATGGTTTATGTTTACATATTTCACATTTTCAAATTCGATGACTTGGCGGTGCTCTGTCGTACGTCCTACTCTATTGTACCTCTATTACAATTTAGTAATCGACTTTCATTTTAAGTTTAATTGATACTAAAACATTTTGTGTAAATGCATCTACGTGATACGAGAATCTTAATGTGGGCCAACGTTTGTATTAAAATTATATTGATTTAAACTTGATTGAATTGTCTGGCTCATTGGCCGAGTGGTCTCAAACGCGACTGTCGGGCAAGGGGTCTCGGGTTCGATACCCGGTTCGGACTAAGCATTACTGGATTTAAAAAAACTCAGTAGTAGGGAATGTGCCCGGTATATGGCAATAGGCTCATTCCCTATTACATGGGACTCATAACATAAAATAGTGATAATCTTATTATTATTACTATTAGTTATTTATTTTGTTTTTTTTTTTGGATATTACACAGGCCCATTTTCGCTGAGCTTACATTTAACCCAAAGGTTGACTGGGAGAAAATGCCATATGGCATTAAGTCCGCCTTATGTACCTTATTTTGTGTGCATTAAAGTGTAAAATAAATAAATAAATAAATAAGTGGGTGTTACATTGTACAGTGGCTTAATGCCAGTGCCGTAATGTGCACCTCTGCCTTCCTCTTCGGGGATAAAAGGCGTGAAGTTATGTATGTTTGTAGTATGAATCGTTGAATGTAATAATGTGTATTTTATGTAAACGTCACAATGATGTTTCAGTGTGTGTTGGACCCCACCGGCGTCTGTCGAAGGCTCCACCCCAACATGGACTGAGGGCACGCCCAGTTTCACCGAGTCTAGTAGTAGTGAACAAGGTGAGTTCAATTATCTGTCAGTACTATTTATAGTCAAGGATTACTGGGAAATAAAATAACTTAACAACTTAACTGTCCCCACACAATAAGATTTACAATTACTCCACTTTCATTGTTTTTTTAAAGGCCGGGTTTTTGCTACACGTCCACGTAGTTTTTTTTTAATTTGGTGCCACGTTCATATCAAAAATACACCCCAAACTTGTACCAAAAGTGAGTCACATGTGACTCGTGAACTTATTCTAAAAGTTCATCGTGGGTCGTATGTGACTTCTTGGACAGTTAAATTGTTAATCTTATATAAATAAAATGCCGCTACTTTGTTGTCTTTGACAGTCTTCTGCTAAGTCTCTGATTCCATCCCTGGGTCGAGTATAGATGTGTTATTTAATTAATAAAATAAAGCGTACAATCGGCCAATTTCCCTTAAGTAAACTTTTTTGCAATGGCCCACAACATTTGGTATTTGCAAGAAATAAGTGCACTTCTACCCGAAGGAAGTAATATAAACACCATAATGCTATATGAATTCTTAGCATTATGTAGTAATAATAGCGTAAGGTTATATTTTTTGAGTTATGTTTTTATATCTGCTATAAAAAAACTTTCGTTTTTCCTCAGGCTACCCAATAACACCAGCCCGTGGCGCCACGCCATGTGACAGTCGCGATGGGCGTCGCTCACCGCGTCCCCCTCCGCCACCCGCGCGTGCAATCCCCCCCACCACCATCAACTGTCTTACCAGCGAAGTGGTGAGTTCTTTGACATTATTATATTACAATTAATGCAATTCATAATTAGGTGATCGGTATGGTATAATGAATAGTGTATTTGGATAAACCAGTATAAGTCGAACTCCAAAATATAAGGAGAATTCAACTTATATTGGAAATGCTATCGATTTTGTCTTTAAAGACTATCGTCATCTGAATTAAACGATTTTGTATAGAATTTTTTGGTATAAATTAAATTGAGAAGATCATAATTGCTTGTAGCGCCATCTACAAAAGGCAAAAACGATAGCTTTCAACGAAGGAATGGTTGATTAAATTATGTTTTTGTCAATTTGTCATTCCCTTAACACAGTTCAATCTATCATAGAGTTTCCCGTTGGTCGCCATTCTATCAGTTTATGTTACTACTAGCGGCCCGTCCCGGCTTCGCACGGGAGGACTTAAGATTTTTTACATAGTTTTTCGCGGACTTTTTTAAAAATAATGTTAAGATGAACAATTCATCTATAGAGTATTTTTGTATAACTTTAACTATATGCTCAGCGCACGCCACGGAAGGCCTCAGAAACGATACTTTTCCCCCGTTTTTAAAACATTTTTGGTTACTGCTCCACAACTATAGTACCTAGCGTGAATTATATAGCCTATGTTACTTCTGAATAATGCAGCTTTCTAATGGTGAAAAAATTATTGCAATCGGTCCAATAGTTTTTGAGTTTATTCATTACAAACATACAAAAATACAAATCTTTCCTCTTTATAATATTAGTATAGATAGTACTGTGCAATTTCTTCAGGTATTAAAAATATTGAACATAACATAAAAATTCAAATCAACCGTTGCTTTTTAATTATTTTTTATTATGACTAATTGGTATGTAAAGAGGTAAGTAAATAATATTACTCACAGGTGTATTTATTAACCACACTAACAAATATTTTACACGCTACAGCTTTCTGTGATTCAAATGAACGGGAAAATTGTTATTACGACTTGGCGGTAAACGCTACCGTGCCCCCATTATAGTATATTTAAAAAGTTAGAATAAAATTGTAAATGACTTATTTTCTTGTTCATTTTAACTAACAATATAGTTTTGTTGTTAGGAATTGTGTTTTAATAGTTTTTTTAACAACAGATACCTTTTTTTAGGTAGTAACTGCAGAACTCAACTTATACATATTAAAATAGATTTTTTCTGGAAAAATACAATTTCTAACACAAAACCATAAGCAAACACGCAATCCCACGTATTCACATTCTTATATTCTTAAATATACAGTACCTGTCAATAAATAATGCACAACGATTTTTGAAAAGAGTCTGTGTTGAGGGATATTATACAAAACTATTTCTTTTTAATCTTTTTACGATTGGAGTGCTCTTACTCGATTAGTTTAAGCGACTCATAATAACAACGGTACTAAGTCCAGACCCAGTAGGGCTGATGCCCGATACGGAGCCGCGGAAGGCCGGGTACGGGTTGCCGGGGCCCTGGCTCGAAGAGTCTGACACTCCCTCCCGCCTCACCCAGGCGTGAGCAGTGATTCGATGATATTCCCCCCTTTTAAAAAAAAGGTAAATGCTATTTACACGCCCCCCACCGCGCTTAAGTATAGTTTTGTCACAACAAGCTCTTTTAAATAAAATGACAGAGATACCACGATATTTGAGTACTACATAAAATTGAGTAACTTTTCAGTATTTCGGTGTAAACAATGTAACGTTAAGAATCCATTAACATGAAAGTAACTCGCATTTAGTACCCGGATCATTATCTCGAGCCGCTAAAACTAGTCGAGTATTCTTCTCAAACCATTTTTTTTATTTCCTTTTTAATTTTACGGACTTTTATACCGCACAGCGTATGTCAGTCCCATCGTAATCGTAACCTAATAAATGTATAAATCAACTAGAGATCAATAAATCAGAGACATGCAGTTGAACAACATTCTCGCATTATCAGTACTCGGCTCATTTAATATTTTATGGAATGTACCTATATCGTTCTTGTTCAACTTCAGGTTCCTGAGCAACTTATTCCTATAAGTCTCATATCGAGCACATTCCATTAACAAGTGATGCATGTCCTCGATAACTCCACACACCTCACAGTTGGGTTTCTCAAACCATAAAAAGGTCGATTGTCTCTTTTCAAAGGTCGATGTGCAACCTTTATGGCCTGGTACTGTACTATGCATTATGCAATATTAATTCTGGCCTATTTCTCTCGGACGCTGCTTACAATGGACATAGTTGCATCTAAAAGAGAGAGTTGAGAAGGATTACAAATGATTTATGATTGAACATGTTTATAAAATGCTTATAAAATTGTTTAAGATGCTAGCTTATTAGGAACGGTTTCTATAATGGCAATTTCAATAACAGCTAATAATATACATACACGATATTCGGTGCTTCCACGGCGAAGAAAGCTTTTGAAATAATACCGATTTTTTTAAACTTAGCAATAAATGGCGTTTAGCCGAATCTCAAAATTTAAGTCGTAAGTGTTGCAAAATTATCTTGTTGAATATAATATTCGTAAAGATCGCTAGATGTGTGTTGTAACGCCGTTTTTCGAAAATATATAAAAAGAATTGCCAAAAGGAACGGACCCATTTTTTTATTAAAACTTAAATGAGAAATGTTTTTTAGACTTAAACTTAGCTATTGTGTAGTAAGTAATAATTTTAATATTAATTTTTGTACTTTGAGACTTATTTAATAGAAATTTAGTTAATTTTTTTATAGTTTAAATTTTGGATCTGTTAAAAATAATTGTATTTTTTTTGCTGTATCAGTTTTTTAAACTTATGGCCGTTACCACCAGCCACAACTAAACGACGTTTACGCATTACTACCTACTTGTACTATTACTATTAATTGAAAACAAAAATGTTAGCTACCTTAACTTAAGGGTTCCTTATTTTGAAGAGGTTGGTGTAAACGGTAATCTATATATTAAATAAGTCTCAAAATAAGGTTTCGACTGACTTCATCTAAATCATATTCAGCATTCGACTGATGTCGTCACACATTAGTGGATTTAGATATTAAAACAGGGTGTTATCATGACAAAGGTATGTGTGGATAACGTGAATATAAATAATATCTATATTAACACAACTTTGCACACCCTGTATTTAAATACCGGCTACCAACTAACCATCGAGTAAAAAATCAATTTAATCGAATCGGCAAATCGAGATATCGATAAATATGAAAGACGCACATTATACATGTCAAAATATTGAATTATATCGATCTACTTAAATATAGATCCTTTTTGAAAAATGCGTCTGAATGTAGGGATGTTGAATTCTTTTCTAAAATTGTTATGAAACATGTTTCGTAGTGTTCAATTAAATTATGGCTATATAGATACCGATTACTTTATGCTACCTGACTTAAAAGATATAAAAATCGAAATATTTGGCAAATCGATAAAAAAATGTATTTCGAACGTATGTCACTGTCAAATATTTAAAAACAAATTATAGTTTAATTTTATTTTTGTTATTGCAACATCCCTATTTCTAAATTACTACAAAGCCGGTATTTATAATCGCATTTCGAACAACTGAGATAGGAATTTATTTAATTATTTTTTTTTGTATATCAATTAGTGTATGCGCGTCCAATCGTTCGTAAGAAATCATATCAATTCGTTGCTATAGTACAAAAACGAGTAATTGAAAACAGAACTTCCTTTTTTTAAATATAACTGCCACGAGATCCAGTGTTGCCAACACAAAGTCGACCAAAATCTACCAAGTTTCGTATTTATATAAATTAATAATTTTTAATGTAATAATTCAAGGTTGTCAGTTAACTAAAGCAATTTGTTGTTCGCTTTTAAAATACATATTAATCCGCTTTCTTGTGAGTGTAATACTATTTATCGACCGTATGGGGATCTGTAAGTATTTTTACTTCAAACTCATATATTTATTCAAATTCATGTATAGTTGACCGTGTTTTGTAATAAAACAAATATAATCGAAATAATACAACAGATGTTATAACCTAAAAATATATAATAAAACCGTAATTTTTTTAAACATAGTATAAATATGTAGCGGTAAAAACAATCGTAAAAGTACTTACAGATTGGGTATTATTATATTAAAATGAAACTTTTTTGTAAGTGGTGACCTTTCATTGTTTGAAATTATATTATGAAAGTTATTATAATAATAATAATAAATAAATGTGTTCAACGTAGGATCACTGTTGCAGTACAAATTGTATGTGTAGCGTGTAGTGTAGCTATATATTTATTTATTAGTCACTTTAATTACAAATGTCATCTGAAGGATATTTCTGTATTATGTAAAAATTGTTGGTAATTGTTTTCATACAAACAAAAAATGATAAAATAGACTTATGTCCCTAAATGGTTATGTGAAAAATATTCCAAAAAACGTGTTAGGTACTAAATGGTACTATTTAGCAAAATTGTACCTACAAAATTGTTCGCTTTTTTAAACCATCTACCGTAAAATTTATTGAGGTTGCATAAATAAAAAAATAATACTGGCAGCAGTCACAGCTCATAAAAATTTTACATTACTATAATTAACATCTGTCGCATAGAAAGCTTAAGTTTAAAATAAGCACAATATAAGACATACAAAATACTGTTATGGAAGGCAAATGTGCTGGCTGTTTTTCGCCATAATAGTGCCTAAAACGGACCCAGTGCATAGCGTTTGGTCTTATATTATAATAAGACTTTTATTAAAACTAGTTTTCCGCCCCCGGGTTTTCAAGTTTAGTCTAAAAAGATCCTATATCAATCTTCAGATACAAAAATAATATCATAAAAGCGCTCTAATGTAACGTGACAAGATACAAAACAAACACTTTCGCATTTATATTATAAACCAGCTGAGTTTGCCGGGAGCTGAGCTGACCCGGCAAACTTCGTACCGCCTAAAATGTATTTTCTGCTGCTGAGCAAGGGGTCTCGGGTTCGATTCCCGGGTCGGACAAAGTATTACTGGGTTTTTAAAAAAAAATCTCAGTAGTAGCGCGGAGTCTGGAAATGTGTCCGGTATATGGCAATAGGCTCTCCCCTTATTACATGGGACTCATAACATAAATAGTGAAAAGTGGGTGTTACTTCTGTGGGCACCTCTGTCTACCCCTTCGGGGAAAGAGGCGTGATTTTATGTTATGTTAAACCTTCCTTAGATCCTTCCACCAACATTGCAAGACCAAAATTAGCACAATCGGTTCAGCCGTTCTCCAGTTACCGAGAATAACGAACGGAAAACCATTTTCATTTATGTAGATTGCTGATCGATCTTTGCTAAGACAACCTTGATAATATGTTAAGCAATCATCCACATAAATCACTGACAAAACGTAGAATAGTAATAGAATAACGACTGAAATTAATAATCAATATTAAAACAAAATCTCTGAACTGAACAAAATATTAAGGACAAAAATTCAATAGAGCTAATCTCGAAAATCGACCTTAATCTAGTTTGAATGAAGATTGGTTATTGTGTAATGACTGCGACACCACTCACTTCACTTACGAATTTATGAGTCCCTTTGTGACTTAAAAGCAATGGAGCATTTCTACTTACTTTAGTAGACCGTATATTTAAATTCAATTGTAATCTTTATTTTAATAAAAATAAAATTGGTTATTAAATTTCATCCGACTGCCTCTTTGGCCGAGTGGTCGCAAGTGCGACTGCCGGGCAAGGGGTTTCGGGTTCGATTCCCGGGTCGGGCAAAATATTGCTGGGTTTTTTAAAATAACTCTCAGTAGTAACACGAAGTCTGGAATTGTGCCCGGTATATGGCAATAGGCTCACCCCCTATTACATGGGACTCATAACATAAATAGTGAAAAGTGGGTGTTACATTGTACAGTCACATAATGTACACCTCTGCCTACCCCTTCGGGGATAAAAGGCGCGATGTTATGTAATTTCATCCGAATGAAAAAAAAAATATACTAAATTTTTATTTACCACTGGTCACCCTTACAAAAACGTTGTCTGGCGTGTATAAAGTGTTACGTTTCTCGACGTTGTTACTATAATATATCAATAATATAATATAATGTATATTTTGTTGTTGTTAACTATTTAAAACGACCGACATGTAGAATAAAACATTTGAGAAAAAATTTGAAAGTCCATGATTTTTTAAACCCATGTTTTAGTTATTTTTTTTTAAACCTTTTGTAGTAACTATAATCAAAATATAAGAATAGATTTTGATACCTCATTATAGTATACGGTGCACGCGTCTATAGTCTATATGTACGTAAAATTGCATATAGACGGCTTGACGACGGAAAAACATTAAGGTTGTAATCTCAAGATTTTTGTATTGGGAATATAATATGCATTTTGTGTCAAGGAGATAAAATATAAATCAGTTTAGCAGCTGGTCTCATTGTCTCTTGATAACCACAATAGACCAGATAAATATAAAATACAACTTCATAATTAATAAGTTATTTGTTAGTAAAATTATCAGGTTTTTTTAGAAATATTTTTTTGAAACTTAATTATTAATAAACATTACCGTTACAATATGTGTGGGTTATTGTGAATTCAAACAATTGGGTACTTGCCTTAATCAAAACTATATTATTTCGACTGCTGATTACAATATAATATTACAAAATAATCACACTTTCATTAATTGATTTTATGACCAACTTAATTTTAGTATTTTTCTAGCAAATTTTTAAGAAGTAAGTGTGCTGTTTGACGCTAAAAAAATGTGACGTCACTATACACATAAATGCAAAGAAATCTATCGTTTTTGACAGTTCGAAAAAAGTATTGAATTTGACTAGTTGACAAGTACCCAATTGTTTCAGTAAGGTTTCAGTCGCTGTCTGTGATTGAAAAATAACTACAATTATCCAAAGACAACCCAAAAACACGTATTGTTTAGTTTATAATAATTTTAAGTAAAACCTACTAATTATTTAGATTACGTTTGCCTGTACTTAATATTTATACCCTTTAGTATTGCCATTTTATTAAAAACCTACTAAAATAGTTAAGAAATCATGCTTTAGCTTATCCAATGGCTGACTGAAAGCTGATATTCCTAAATTTAGTTTCATATGGATAACTGCTTGCAAAAGGTAAGATTTTTAAACTCAAATATTAAGTTATAATTTATATGTCGTAGGTAAATTATAAAAAAATGTTTCGTATTATATAAAGTTTAGTAAAATGTATTTTAAACTATTTTTATGATTTCCTTACGGCTCTTAACTAATCTTAACAATAACTAAAATATCTATTTTAATACCTAATCTTATAGTATTATTAGCACAGAAAATATTCCTATTAAACTTAATTTATTCACTTTTGGTGAACATTTTAGTATCTAATTAATAATTTTGGGAACTAGACTATTAAAGTTTAAAAGTAATTAGAATATACTTATATAAAATATTTTAATCGAATAAAAACTGCTGGGCTTTCTCTCACTACTTCATGATAACTACTCAATCAAGGCGGCATTGCTTTTGGAAAGCACCGACATGATTTATTATTACATTAAATTAATCCAACTAAGTATTTTTAACCTACTTCCCAAAAAGGAGGAGGTTATCATTAGTAGTTTAGCTTTAGTCTCCATTTACAAGAATGAGACGACATAAAACTTCACTCACGCCATCTAGTGGTCAGAAAGCGACACTACTTTCATAAAACACTTTTTTTAACTATAGTTTAGTATTTCAGTCCAAATATTGATTATTTTATTTTGCTGGGCAGGTGGAAATAACGCATTTAAGGTGCGAAACATCAAGAATAACTATATCAAGCTATGAAATACATAACGACGCTGATGACGAAGAAACGCAGTAAATGCAGCTGTATTTTTGGGGGATTTGTTGCAATGTAATTTTTTTTTACTATACTGGGCTGTTGTTTAATTCATTTTTAATCTTAAGTTTTCGCAATTTAAGTTGAAATGTTTTACTAAAAATTTCGACTAACCCGACCAATTTCTATGGCTATAATTGTTGAACTTCCTTATTTTTATGATTGTCAAAGTTAGAAGATCTTAAACACACATTAACTTACTCAACATTCTTCTTTAATACATTTTCATTATTTTCCGTTCCAAAAAATATTAAAAATAAATTCAAACGTTTCTTTTTTATGATTAACAAAATTAATCAACTTTATGGTTAGCAAAATTACATTGCAATAAATTGCCATATATGAAAATTAATACTTAATGCTATTGTTATAAGCTTAAAAAGTTGAAATCAGTATTCTATGTGGTGCTGTTATACGAAGATATTATAATATCTGGAGATCAAATATAATAATTATTGTTTTTTATAATAACTATCGCGAGACATACTAAATTAACTTAACCTTCAAGCGGGCGCGCGTAGTCGAATCGACCGCGGTTAATACATTTTCGTTCGTATTTTTATTTTTAGTTGCCACATGCATTTCTTATTTCTAGTAGCCTGTCACTATCTTTTTAGGAGTAAAATAAAAACTATTTCGTTGCTTGAAGCGCTCTCTACACTCCACAAATTACATTTTTTTAGGCTCTGGCGCAGTCGTTGAAAAGACTACACGCGCCTGTCGTCGAATAGGTTACGCGCGACGCCCAACGCGACATACACATGTCAATATTATCTAATTCAGCTTGGAGTTTTGGTGTTTTAAAGCATTTTTTGTTAAAATAAGTCGTTTATGGTTATCGCAAAGTACAGTAATCGAGGAATTACAAAGAGAAGACGAAGAAGAGAGTGAATCAGAGCTTAGCAACCAAGGCTCTGAAACTTCTCATCACATAGTTTTAGAAGAACATCTATCTGATGTGATATCATCCTTGTCGGATTTAGATGAGAATAATTTGTAGGTTTCGGAAATAAATAGCTGTTTTACAGGACGCGATAAAGTAACTAAGTAGCAAAATCTGAAAATTACTAGAATACTGACTAAGACGAAAATAAAATCAAAATTAATGAGTTTTTAGAGTTTTATCCTTACTTTTTATTTATTTTTTGGTCTACGTATATAAACCAACCTAACATATGTAAACGGGTCTTAATATTTTGATCCGAAGAATATTCGAGTTACTTTAGGTGACTTAATAATTGCTTCTTTTTCATAACTTTAATTACTTGTTGTGACAAATTTCTCTTTAAAGACAATGATATTGTATCTTAGTACAAATTAATAAATGATTATCCCATAATTATTGCTTTCTTGGTCTTATTCATCCCATAGGTCTATTCGGTTACGCGCGCCCGCTCCCGTTACAAAAGACCGCGCGCCCGCTTGAAGGTTAAAATCGCGTGAGAAAATAGAAGGCGCGGTGAGCTCGCAGCGCAAGTAGCAACACCGATGCGAGCGCCAACGCTAGCCAGTAAGCTGCTCGACATCACCGCGACCGCGCACGCTGCTCATGCGGAAGAACACTTCTGTGGTTCTAACTAGTAGAGCTTTTCTCAGCTGAGTAACCCACGATTTTTAGTTAATAATAATAATTGTACTTAAATCCAATAGCAGCCAATGAGAGCTACCGTTTAACCTCTTGTTTGTATATGAGACACAATACAAAACGCATTTTTTAGTCTAGCGTAGATCTGTGTTCCGGCAGTTCAGTTTAAATAACATTTATACCGCGTTCGATCCAGTTTATCTAATAGAGAATTAGCCAGTGTCAAAGCATTGGACATTAACTTTTGACAGATATCGCCTGTAGCGCCATCTAGTTTAGAAAATGGTTGAGTTTGCTGTTAAAGGAAATACATATTATGATATTATTGTTATGCTCATTTTTATTACATGAGCATTCTTTGATTTTCTGAAAAGTCTTAACGGGTTGCCGGGGCTCCGGCTCGAAGTGCAGGAGTAGGAAAGGGGTGGTTTTTAGTCAGTAAGAGTCTGACACTCCCTCTCGCCTCACCTGGGCGGGAGAAGTCATTGGATGACTTTCCCCCTCAAAAAAAGGCA